CGATCATGTGATCGAGGCTTTAAAATCAGATATTCTAAGATTTGAATTGGATTTAATAAAGAGTTGTAAACTAGAGTGATAATATAGAGATATGCTTATTCTGAAGTCATATACATATAATTTTTAGCTCTTAGCACAGGTTAAAGTATATTTTAGTATATAATTCTTTTCTTTTTGTCAGATAGCTCTATGTATAGATTTCTACGACCATGTAAATAGTTTTTACCTGGTTAGCAGATTTTATATCTGAAGATAGATTCTCATAAATTTTAGGATAGTATTTAGATTCCTTTACAATTTGGTTATTTTTTTTGTTTGTTTGTTTATACTTTACCACTTTTTTATTTATCCATACCTCTTGTTTTCTTTTTTACTTCTCTATAAGAAAGTATTATCAGATTGGCGATACTCTATTGTAGAGCAGTGATTTTGATAAGGGCAGTGAAACTATCTGTTGATAGCTAGGGCTCATATCCTCAGTAAGTTGAGGATCCCAAAAGAAAGAAAATTATCGCTTAGGCAGGTTGCTTCTAGGTCATACTCTAGCATAAAATTTTGGCTTTGCTTGAATTCTACTGTGATAATGAGACAAATCGAGAGAATTTTTATTTGGACAAGCATAAAGTACTTAATAGTTAGTCGGTAAAATTAGCTATCTGAATTTTTACTATAATATACTGCCGATATATAAAATAAAAGTAGGATTGCTGAAGTGAAAAAAAAAAAACTATATTATTTAACAATATTTTTACTAGGTTTGATACAAAATCTCAAAGAATTAAATCCTGATAGTACTATATTCTGAAGCTTGAAATCTCAAAAAAACATTATTTTGACAATTCATTAATTCAAAAACCAAATCTTGAAAAAAAAAATCTCAAATAATCATAATCCTGAAGAATCACAATTATGAAAAAAATATCCTGAATGTAATAATACTAAATGTAATAATTACAAATGTAATAATCCTGAATGTAATAATCCTGAATATAATAATACCAAATGTAATAATCTCAAATATAAAAATCTCAAATATAATAAACTTAGGAAATGCTAAGACCTGGGGATGGCAAACCAGGCGGTGGCAGCAAGAATCTGGCTTGAGATACGAGGCTAGTATATCTAGGGATATAAGTGGAAGATTTGGGGCATTCATGTAACATAAGTTGCATGAAAGAATGCAAGCCGGCAAAAATTGAGCGGTGCAAATCTGTGATAAGTCCCCTTTCTAACATGTGATACCAATACTTCTCATGTGGAACTAGCGGTGGCAGCAGATATCTGGCTTGAGAAACGTAGACGAGAGGCTACCTATTAGAAGGAGTATACTAGTTTAAAAATACTTCAAATAACAGGCATATCAAATTGGGAGGCCATTAAGGACCGATTACCTGAATGAATCAATTTGGGAATTACCAAGATTTGACGGTGAAACATGGGGTAAATGTGGTGAGTAACTAGATATAGTTTAAACATCAAATCCAGGTATAACCTAATATGTAGTGGGAATGTAGCATACTCTAGTAGGTTTAGGTCATAGATAAAATTGTCTAAGCCAGTATTCTTAAGATTATATGTAGCTATATAAGGCAAAAATTTAACATCTAATAAAGATACGAGGCAAGACCTCACCTTAACACCGAAAAAAAAAAAAATTCTCAAATATAATAATATCAAATATAATAATATCAAATACAGTTATACTTCTATATAATCATCCAATTTGTCTAACACTTTTTGGTGATTATATAGGGGTGATTAAATAGAATTACTTTTTTACAATCACATAATATAACATAATATATATAATATAACTTTAAAAAGATAATAAAAATTGTCTAAATAAATTTTAGTTGAGTAACCTTGTATTTAAGTTATTGAATACTTCATGCATTTAATAATTAAAGTTACAGTATTTGTTTTTAATTATAAATAGATAAACCAGATTACCTAGATATACATGAATAACATAATGTTTTACAGATATTTTCATATTATAATTCCTAAAACACTTGATAAAAAATTGCCACCCAATTTGTTAGCCAATTTGACTAAGTTATTGATTTCGGTATGATTAGTTTACAAATAGGGTTGGTATTACATAATGACAATGATAAATTACAATTTACATTACATATTGATATAGATTATATTGTAATTTACACAAAATTATAACTTTACATTAAATAATGCACTAGCACAAACAGCAGAGACTGTTAATATATACATATGTTAAAACTGGTGAGGGATTATATCTATCACAACTGAATCCAATATAAATAATTTAATTTGTGATTGATTACAGGAGAGAGAAATTCACTCTGGATCAGGTACTATCTCTGCTATTACTTGCACATAAATATTGTAACAATGTTACAACAGAAATATGATCTGTTACTTGTTTTTCAATTAAAGTTTGGCAAATATTTAGATAACCAGATTATTTATAACTGCAGATATCTGAATCGCATCTCTACAAAAGTTTTGCCAGCATTACCAAACATCCATCATGGTGTTTGAGTTCTATATTTATTCATATGTCAGTTATAAGAAAGTTTGATCACTATTATTTGTGCCAGTTCTAAGAAAGTTTGACCACCGTTATTTGTACCAGTTCTAAAAAAGTTTGACCACTATTGTAATTTTGATTTCTGAAATAGTAATTTTCAATCCTATATAAAAAGACATGTTGTATATCATATTTGTTTTACAAGTAATTTATCATTATAAATATTGAAGCGTTCAATATATTTAAATATCTGTCCAACATGGTTGATGTGTTTAGTTTGTGTAAAAAAACTTATGAAAAAGGCTGTTCTTGTCAGCCAGATATAGAATAAACTTTTATAATAAATATATTAAATGAGTAGGTATTGATATTAAAAAAAGTTGGATATGGTCAAGAATTTGTCAATATTCAAATAAATTATAATTTTATTAATATTTGTCAAAAATGTATTACAGAAGTTTTTCAATGCATTCATATTTCGAAAGTGCTTGAGAACCCGACTTATAAAAGATATACTAACATATAAATATTTGGTAAATTTTTAAAATTATAAGCTTTAAATTTTTTTCAATTATTTGCCAGCAAAGATGCTTTAAAGTGCATGTTTCTACAAACTTAACCGAATCTGCTGAAAAATTATTTAGCAAATTTTATCAGGTATTTCAAGAATTATAAAAAAAGCTGTAACTGACAGTTAACCTGGCAGATACCTCAATTTAGTATAAATTCTTCGATAAAATCAATTTGGGCTGAATTATCCAAAATCATCTGATTAAAAAAGATTTATTTTGATTTGGTTATATAATCGTTTGTTACAAATAGGTTTGCTCATAATGAAAAAAATTTTAAGAAAAAAAAACAGATATCTCATTATTCACTATAAACAGGTAAAAAAAAATCAGTGATAAATTTTTGTTTCATCGATTCTACATATTTTTTTCTCATTAATGATAAATATTTTCTAAAAATTTTCAGATCCTCCACAATAAAATTACAACTTTCTTGTTGTTCAACAAAACTAATGAATTTTTTTAGCCTGTTTAAGCCTTCTATAATAGAAATTTTAGGTAGTTCTTCATCAGTATCGCTTGTATCACCTTCTTTTAATTTTCGTTGTTTATCCAACACAATATTAACAATCTGGTTTTCATCAAGAATATCTTTAGTAAGTACTTGAGAATTATTTATATGGACAAATTCGTTTAGCTAGTTTTCGATTGTTGGATTTAATAAATTTGTTGTGAGGTTTATAACTAATTCATCCACTTTAATCTTATCAAAATCTGTTAGATCTTGAACAGAAAAAGTAGCGTCATCAATCTCAGTATCTGATACTAGTGAGAGAATTCCCATTTTTTTCTAGCGATTCACGATGGTCGATTCTTCAACTTTATCTATGATTCTGCGATATAATATATCCCTCTCAGATGTTTACTTTATTTCTGTATAAATAAAAATAAAAAATCATTGTTGTGGATTAAGCTAAACAAGATTTAACTTGCAATACAAACTAATATAAATGGGTATATAAAAAATCTATTTACTAGATAAATCTGCCATGAATTAGACCAGAGTGCGAACTATTTTTTTTTTCAAAAAAAAAAAAAACAAAATCATCTATGGTTAGTGTAAAGTGCATATACGCTTTAAAATTTTTTTTTCCAGTATATATGCCATAGGTAGAAACAGAATTTAAGTTGATTCAGAATTTTTAAGTTTAGAGTTGGGATTTTTAGTATAATTATTCTATTCTTATCTAGAACTCTATTATGATTTCATTCCCACTCACAACATATATAATTTAGTAATTGATAAAATGTCTTCCATATATGTCTATTTATACACTATTATAGGACTATATATAGTCTATGCATAGTTGTTAAAAAAAATAATGGTAATACGATTATATGTATTTAGACATAATTAACTGTGTATTGCATAAGAAATGAAATATGATATAATGTTTTAAGCACAATTTCCATTACTATTTGCCACTGTATATTGTAGCTAGTGTGATGCAATATTTGCATAAAAAAATTGAACTATATATCACATATAGATATAAATTGTACTTTAAGGATTGCCTATATTTATTTGTTACACAGTACTGTACACAGTGGGCAAACGGTAATATGTTTTTACTTTCTTAACGTCAAGTCTTCGCTTTTTTCAAACTGATTGATTATATGCTATATATATATTTTTTATATTTCACTTTAAAGCTATTGATTATCCCTGCATTTATCAGCTGAAGGTGAGCAGTAGTTTTGGGTAGTAAAAACTCAATTCAAATATTTGTTAGATAAATATCAGAAGGATCTGAAATTTTATAAGGACGACCAGTACCACAGCCACCTTTACTAAAATCAGAAACCCATTTATGACTGCGACCATGACCGTAACTATGACTACGACCACGTCCACACCCATGAAGAGAATCTCACCTCTTTTGTTTGTTAATATTACCAATATTCAATCTCGGGCGGCCACATCATGCATGCAGGGTTTTGGATGTACTTGTATGGATTTCTTCTTCAGATTCTTCTTCACCTTCTGGTTCTTTACTTTCTGATTCTTTACTCTCTGATTCTTTATCTTCTTCATCTTCACTTTCTGGTTCTTCATCTAGTTCTATTGCATCTTGACTATTATCATTATTAAGATTATAATGACTCGTCGCACCATCAACTATCAATAAAATTTGCCAGTTTTCTAAACGAAACTTTTCATCAAGTTTTAAGAGCCACTCATAGAAGATTTCAGTTCGCAT